GTTTCAGGAAATCACATCCCCTGCAATCGGCAGTTGTAGGATTAAGCTATAAAATGGTTCAAACACCACTATTTGGCAGTGTTGTGCATATATTGTATATGAATTATTGCCAGCTAGTGAGTATCAAATTGAACTTGCACTTTAAAATTAGCTTCTGCTAGTTTTTCTATGACATAAGCACTTTTGAAGTTGYGGACCTAAATATTTTCAMATGCGCTTTAGAAATTGCAGAGCTAAATTTTGGATTAGTGCTGCCCACCACTGACAGATGCTAAATATAACTAAAATCCTAACAAAATTTGCACTTTTCTAAACTGAACCCAATAATTTATGTTGATTAATTTATCTTTATTTAACCAGGGAAGTCTCATCCAGATCACAGACCTCAGTGGTTTTTCTCTCTTCCTCACACACACAAACACACCTGTCACTCAAGATTAAAATGCTTTTTTTTCCTGCTGACTGCATAATTTCAGGCTGGAGGGTTGAAATAAGAAATGGGTCCAAAGGTTTTCAGAGGAAAGAGGGAACATTTAGTTTTCAGGCCAGAAGAGAGCAAAGAGTCCTCTGATGTAAACAAATAATTTGCTCTTCATAGCCCAGGGCCACATATTTCAGATTTAGCTGCAGTCATTCTTAGCAGAGCTCACAAGATTCATTTCATTTATTTATTGTAGTTCGGACTTATTGTTTTTTTTCTCCACACTTTGTCTTTAAAGTCTTAGTCCATCCATCCTATTAGAAATTCTTTGAACTTTTTGTTATTTCAGGTATTTTTCTGACAACAAATCACTGATCTAYGTGAAAGACCTAACTTATCAAAGAAAACCTAAATGAATCTATCTGTACATGTTGGTTTGCTTCGATTTACTTAAATCTGAATGAACCATAAACATCTTACCTGTTATAGATWGCWCTTTTGCTGGCTTTAATTAGAAAAAATGTCATTTAATTATGGCAAGATTGATGAGYTAATGGCTAGTTTGAGCTGCCCTAAATAACTTCACATTGCACGGTTATTTACATACAAACTAAGTCTTATTTACTACTTTATCTAAAGCATTTTCTGTGTGAATATCATAATATTTTGCCTGAATAAATATTTTATGATCGCTTTAATCTATCTGTTGGCTCGTCAGTCTGAGCCAAACTTTATTTCTCCAAATTTATGTTGTTCAAAATCTACAACAGGAAAAATATTAATTGTTTAAAACCTTTATATAGAAGTTTTTTTCCCCAGTTACTTTGATTATAAAAGCTGTAATATATTAAAATGTACTTTAGGAAACTCATCAAAAAGTAATATTTTAACAAATTACCAACAAGTAAAAAGAGTTTGTTATAAAACCTCAGAGTGTTTCATTTTTTAACAGTGAAAATGTGTTCAGGGAGGTTTTTCTAAAATAATACAGAAATCCTTTTCAACTACTGCTGAAGTCCTTCAGTTTGTTCTCAGTCCATTTTATCTTTTTAGTTTTCATGTGAAAACTTTCATTTACAACCCTGACCCTCAGACRCTCTGTTCCTGCCACTTCTCTTTTACAGTTTTCTCTGAAATATTTCCATAAATCCAGTCTTCTCTGCTCGTTTAACTCTGACACACGTATCCTTCAGGTGTGCTGTTCCTACTTAAAGAATGAGTTAATGTGTTCGCTTTAGTTTTTTATATTTATGCAGATTTTAGAACTCGAGAAAACTGAAACGCTCCAGTCATAAAATCAACTTGGCTTGATTAGTTCTTCCATTGACTCACGTCTCACTCACCCACATACCCGCCTGCAAACATCATTAAACCTGCATGTGAGTCGCATTCAAGTCRTTACTCTTAACTGCTCTCAGGGCTGGTAATAATATTCAGTTTTCTGTGTTTTAATGTGAATTTTTTTTAGTCTGGCAGGAAGCACCTGCTGTTGCCAGATGGGCACATTTAACATGTAATTTTCCTGGATATAAACATTGTCTTATCGTCCAGGTGCAGACTGCCTCATGGGTGTGTACCTGTTCTTTGTCGGGGTGTATGACGTGAAGTTCCGAGGGCAGTACAACCAAAACGCTCTGATCTGGATGGAGAGCGTGGAATGTCGCACCATTGGATTTCTGGCCATGCTCTCCTCAGAGGTAATTTAATCTTTCCAATCACACAAACGAATAAAAAACAGTGTGCACGCTAATGTGTCTAATGCCTGTAGTGTCATCCCTAAACTTTTTATTTTCTGACAACTTTAGCTAGTTACTAGACATGGGTTTTTGCGATGTAAAAACAAGTGTGCATTGCCATGTAGCATGTCATTGCAGCATGGCTTTGCCTGCAACATTGGACTTGCAGAATGAGCTTTGACCAGGATCAAATATGTTTTCTAAACCAGCTTGTGCCTGTCACATCAGCAGGTGTTTTTAATTAAGGTAATTGAGTGACAATATGAAGTTGGAAGAGATTTTTTGTTAAAGTTGCATTAGCTGGCTTTAAACCCTGATCTCCCACATGAAAGCCCATGACATAGACCATTAGACCAATGGAACTGTGGAAGAAGGTGGTGGCAGGGGTTCGTTTGTATGTGTGCAGAAAGAGGCCACATTGCCAATACAATTATTGACACTAAACTGCATAATATTACAACAATAGAGCAGTATTGACAATTTTATAGTAAAACATGAAAATACAATCATATTAGTATTGTAAGCACTGAACAATTTAGATTAAATATTATTAAAGTATGGAGCAGTACCAAGTTGAGTACAGCTGGGGGCAGTATTGGACCATTACAAGGCCCGATTGACTCCCATTATATGAATTTGGAATAAAGTTTAAACATTAATATTTCAAAAACTACAAGTTGTACAGGTACCAAAAGGCAWAGCAATCATTTGGAACAGGACCTTTACAGATAGAAATTACATTGGCAGCTGTAGGACAATGTAGGCAGGAGCATTGGACTTTCAGAATGAACTTTGACCAAGTTCAAATGTGTTTTCTATACCAGCTTGTGCCTGTCACGTCAGCAGGTGTTTGTAATTAAGGTAATTGTGTGACAATATGAAGTTGGAGGAGATTTTTGTTAAAGTAGCAGTAGCTGGATTTGAACCCTGATCTCCCGCATGAAAGCCCACAGTGCTCATCATGAGACTATAGGAGATGTGGCAGAGGACAGTCCCAGGGATTGGATTGTATTTATACAGAAAAGGTTTAGCTTGCCAATGCAATTATTGACACTTAAGTGCAATATATTGCAGCAATAGGACAACATAAAGACAGTATTACAGTAAAACATCAAAATACAATCATATTAATATTGTAATCACTGAACTACTGAGTTTAAATATTATGAAACTATGGTGCCGTACCATATTGTGTAGATGCAGCAAGGGGCAGTATTGGACCAGTACAAGGCTCCATTGACTGCCATTATAATTTATTAAACATTAATATTTCAAAAACTATAAGTTTTACAGGCACCAAAAGGCATAGACATCATTTGGCACAGGGGCTTTACAGATATAAATTACAATGGCAGCTCTAGGACAAAGTATGCAGGAGGAGAAGCATGGCAAAGTTGAGATGACTTGGATGGGAAACGAATCACAATATTGTGCATTGCATTGGCAATGCACACTGATAAAAGGGAGAGTTCTGARGAAACAGTGGACTTGGCCTGAAAATTTGAACAAGCACACCTAACAGGTCCCTCCCACTTGCGCTCTGCTGCGCTTCAGCCCTCCTTCTCAAGCTCCTCCCCCACAGCGGAGCCTGCTGGCTCAGCGGCAGTACAGTTTTTGGCTATCTTGAGCTTGAACAACAGTACGCGATGCGCAGTTCCATAGCAAATACTGTGGCGTAATAGAAAACCGAACGGATTGAAAAATGCGACCCAAACAAAAAAAATAAAGATATCTACGCAACACCTGGAGAGTCTAAATTTAAAATTTCTGCACACCTAGAGATTCAAAGTACACAACAAAATGGTTTTAATGTGTTGTTCAATAYGAGTGGGTTTTTTCTTTTGTTTCTTTGAGTGTGGACTTTTATGGAGGATGCAAGCAAAATAACTTTTTTTTGTTTGTTTTATTGGGCGGGCAATAACCGCAACTAGTGCAAAAGCAATCATAGGCAGGAAATGAGGCTTCTTTTCAGAAAATAAGGATGTGAAGAACACAGGCCACTTTATTAGAAACAACTGCTTGTTAACAGTTACTTAGCCAATCACCTGGCAATAACTAAATGCATTTAGGCATGAAAACATGGTGAAGCCAACTTGCTAAAGTTCAAATGGAGCAGCTGAATGGAGGAAAGTAATTTTGAATGTAGCGTTGTTTAGATAGAACAGGTCTAAATATTTCAGAAACTGCTGATCTGCTGGGATTTTAACACACAACCATCTTTCGGGTTTAAATAGACTGTTCCAAAAAATAAGAAAAAAATCTGTGAGATTTTTCTATACATCCTTAAACCTGCAAAATTGGGGAGTTTCCATGTAATTTATGTAAAATCCGTACAAGTTTACATCTATGCTACTAGCCTTTCTGCTTGTGTGCTGCTGACTATGGAGAGC